GCGCAGCCCTGCATCCTCCCATGGGGACACAGCAGAGGAGGGGACAGTGCTGGGGACAGACTGAGGACACGGCTGTGCCACTGCACCTCGAGCTTTTGCCCTCCGCCACCCCAAGAGGGTCCCGCCTCCGCAGCAGGCGTTGAGCAACAAGGCAAAGAGGAGAGCAGGGAAGATCATCATCATGGTTTTATTTGTCATGATCCCACTGTCCAACTAATTGACTAGTTGCAAGTGACCCACAAAAAAAAATGGACTGAAGATTTACCGGAACTTTTTTAGTCCAACATAAATGAGGAAGAAAAAAAAAAATACTTCTGACATTTCCAAAAAACAGAAATAATAGCAAAGTATATTAATATACATTCAACATATACTGCGCGTATTGATTACTACAATACAAAGCAATGATAAAAAAAGTGTGATGCTGCGAAATGGCACGGTTAAGCGAGTCCCTGCTGTTTCGGATGCTTGCTGGAGGGTGGCCGTCGACTCTCCCAGAAATACAGTGTCATGTAAACAAAAGGAAAACAAACCAAAGGTACAGAGCGAAAGGCTTGCAGTGTTTCCCGCTGGGCCCCGCCGGGCTCCCCGTGTCCCGCTGGCGTTCTCCTCCCGCGGCGGGGAGCAGGGGGAGGCCGGGAAGAGGCACGGGTACGGATAGCAAAGTCACCTCTGCTGTGCTGGTTTCACACTTCCTTCTGTGCAAATTCAGGGGGGCTGGGTCACTTTTTTCCTTTTTTACAAAATATTCCAGAAAAGTGTCAATAAGAAGAGGAATTTGAGCTGTAGCTTCTCAAGTCCCAAAGGCAATGATGAGGCCAAGTGCTCCCCAGCCCCGGCTGGGGGGGAGCTTCGTGCTCTATCCGTGGAGGGAAGGATGGCAAGAAGGACAAAGGAGAGATCTAAGCACGTCTGAACTGTAGAAAGGAGAATACCACTGTCGCCACTGGCACGAGAGAAAACCAGTCACAAGTACAATGTCATTAAAAGAAATAAAATACTTTGAACAAAAGGTGCAAGTCACAATTCATATAGAACAGAATCTAGTTAAAAATTTCTCTCAAACAGAAATTCCTTTTGCCTTTTATTAATAACAATAATAATAAAACAACATTTACCAAAAAACAATTCCTACATGATCAGGAGGAGAAGCGAAGAGAACAAAGAAAAGTCTGTCTTCCCTACAGTAAACCAGGAAAAAGGAAAAAAAACAAACCCCAAGTTGTTTGTGGATTTGAAAAGAAAAGGTTAGAAGGGGGTGGGGAAGAGGCGATCCTTTCGGCACACTGACAAACGGAGAGAAGGAACAAACGCAGACAGAGATGAGACGAGAAGCGTATTGCACCAGGGTGTCCCCGCAGCCGGCCGGAGCCCTGGGGGGATGCACGATCTGCTGGCCCCATCCTCAACCCCCGCCAGCGCTGCCGGGTTCGGCTCCCACTGGGCCCCTCCCCAGTGCAAAGGGGTAAAGGGTGGCAGGACAGCACAGCCCCTGGCTGCCCGGGGAGCGCTGGGGATCCCCTCGGACCCTGCTCCATGCCCGCCTGCTCCTTTCCCGGCCAGGACAGGCTCCGGGGAGGTGGCAGTCCCGTCCGTCCGCTGGCTGTGCCCCGGGGGGCCGCCTGGCCCTGGTCAAAGCCCTCCAAACCAGACTCAGTGCTCAGGCTCCGTGAATCCTCTGCCGACGTGTAGGACTCAGGTTCTCTGGTTATTTCTGTGATAGCTGGAGTTACAGGCAAATATGGCAAAAATTAAAGAAACCAAAGGAACAACACACTGGATGAAGTGATGACGAGGAAAGGGGCCATGGTATTCCAGTTAGTCAGAAATACTACGGCAATTTGGCGCAATGCTGCTAGATACTGTTGGTTTAAAATGGACCTTTTCGTTTCAAAGCTGTACATAAAACCTGCAAGAGAGAGAGAAGCAGAGATGTTAGGAGACACCAGAGATGGCAATTCTGCTTCCACAGCCCTCTACCACGTTCCCAGCCCAGCCCCACATGCCCCAGGAGGGAAACCCCCCGATGCAACGGGGCTCTGCAGGAACAGCAAAGGCTGGAAAGGAGGGGTGCTGTCCCCAAAAAAACGGGGGCACAGCAGACAGCCTCCAGAGCAGAAGCTCAGAGCTGATGGTCTCTCCCTTCAGTGCAAGGGGAAAAGGAAAGAGCCACACAAAGTGAGGCCACCAAGCCTTTGGCTCTGCCACCAAGGCAACCCGAGGCTTGCAGCTGGAAAGAGAAGGAGCCTGGAATACTCACTCCCTCCGGGTTACACCCCTGCCTGCTCCATCCCAAAGGGCACCTCTGGGTGCTTGTAGCTCAGCAGGACGTCTGTGATACACGTCGACGGGTAACAGGAGGTGTTTAGATGCTGGTTGCCATCACCCAGGTTGGGATGCTCTTGACCTTCCAAACTCTCCCCACATTCTGCAAGGTCAAGGAACAACGTCAGAGCTTGCACAAGGAGCAGGAAGGAGGCACAGCTCCAGCATGAGGTTCAGGCCAGCAGGCTGCAAGCTGTTCCCTCTCAGGTCCTGCCCCAGGCCCCGAACACCCCTGACACCCTCCGTGCCATGCGTCTGCAGCTCAGCCAGGTCCTTACCCTCGCTCTCCCTGTCGCGCAGCTGCTGACTGGCCATCAGCGACGACTGGCTGAGGACGGCATCAGACATCCGAGCAGAGCTGAGTGCTTTTCCTGCCATTAAACTCATTCCAGGCAAGTTATCTAACTGCACCTGCGGAGACAGCGGGACACAAGTCAATGGGGGCTGGGGGCAAGGCATCCCGCTGCTCCCCCGGCGCTCTTCAGCGATGGTTTCTAAGTGCAAGTGAAAATGTTCATCAGGGACAGCTTGGGCACAGCCCATGTCCCCACAACACGAGAGCAGACTGGACAGGCCAAGTCCCTTCCAGACTACCCTGAACTAACCAGGGGATCATCCTTCTCATTTATAGCGGAAGGGAGCTGCTGCAAAGAACTCATCAAGGTTTGCGCAGGACAGTTCCCAGCGGCCCAAAACCCAGGGGAAGCGGAGCAGCTGCTCTGTGCTCTCCGTCAAGGTCTGGGCTGCCACGGCCAACTCGCGCAGCAGCAGCGCAGAACCGAAGGCTGGCCTTGGTGCGTCTGCAAAGCTCTCTGCGGGCAGAGCCAGGCCTGGGGCAGCCCAGACCGGTTCCTCAGCAGGACCTTGGAGGAAAAAGAAGAGATGCTGCAGCTCCAGCAGCCAGCCCTGGGGCAAACCCTGAGCGAAGGAGGAGCACCTACGTAGGCATCATCGCTGTTCTGGATGGTGTGGTGTCTCTGCAGGGTCCGGGGCCGTGGGTGCTCGCTGGAGGCGGGTCGCACAGGGTAGCCCAGCCCATTGTGGTCAGGTACCTGCATCGCTTGGCCAGGGGAACTCCTGTCCATACAGTTCCCTACGATGGATTCTTGAAAATCAAGACAGAAAAGCGACAGATTAGTACAAGGAACCTGCAGCTCTCGGCAACACGCGCCACCACAAAACTGTGGGTCTGAGATCTGACGGCGTGAACACCGATCGCTGTCCGGCACTCGGCACTGAGATCCCAAAGACCCCAAAAGAACTCAGTGCTAGCTTCCTCCGATCAGGTCTACAAAAGCAGCCTAAAATTGCTGGGACAGGGGCAGGAGCACCACAGCACAGAACCAGAGCCTTCCAACTGCTCCCAGCACTGCCGCCATCCCCTTGAGCCCCGGCTCGCCCACATTGTTACACAAGAGCGTCTCCCCAGCCTCCAACGCGGGATGTTCCAGCAGGGCCCCTTGGCAATTGTCAGCAACATAATCTTTCTGGAAGAGTTGGCCAGGATGTTTGCTTTTATCAGATGACTTCTCCCTGCCCTCCTACAATCTGGCTGCAGGAGCAGATGAGTGTTCTGCCTGGCAAAGTCCATCCTCACCGCAAGCTCTTATGACCAAGGGTAAAGGCTACATTCCTATCAAGCAAAACCTCCTGTCATCAAGAACAAGATGTTTTGAAAAAAGTCCTGAGGTATGGAGAAGCCTATCATTGGGTGCGACGCACGTAAACAGCTCGCTGTCAGCGAGCAGCCCTGCGGAGCACAAACAGGGGAGCTGCCCTGAAATGACACCGCACAGGTACATCCCCGGCAGCAGCTATCTGCTTTTGGGGGGCTTTGGCCAGCGGGAAGCCATCTCCTGCTGTGCCGGGACACCACACCTCCTGGCTGGGACGGCCACCACCAGATGCCACAAAGATGCTCCCCAAAGAGACCTGCCCGTAAAGTTACCCGGATCCAAACGAGACCCCGTCCCAGGCACAGCCTGCCGCCCGAGCTCTGCACGCCGTTCGCGATGCCCTTCCTCCCTCGGAGGCTCGGCAGTCCTGCAGTAACCCCGTCCCGGGGCAGCCGCAATGCGGCTGGCCTCCCCCTTCCTTTGCACAACCATGGGGTTACGTGCGGTTAACAGTCAGCTTTCCCGGAAAAGCGAGAAAGAAAACATGAGGTAACAGATGTTGGCGGAGCTGTGCCACCCACACGGTGCTTGGGACGCCGCTCCAACTGTGGGAACGGTTCTTGGGGCCAGCAGGCTGCTTCTCCAGCTCCACAAACAGCCCCGCTGTGCAGCAGTGCTCCTGCAGCCGGGTCCCGCAGCGAGCCCGGCACCGGCCCCTCCGCTGCAGGTGACAAGGGACAGTGGGATTCATCCCCCCAGCATGGAATAGCCCTGACCCAAATGACAACCCCACGCTTCCCACAGCCAGCACAGCTCCTCTGGGGATGCAGCTCGGTCCTGCCTGGATTCACGCTCCTTTCCTCGCCCCGACCCTGCTCCAGCAGCAGGAGAGGCTTTGTCCCCACTCCCACGGAGGATGGGGCTCCTGCGCCAGGCACTGGCACCGCGGGCAGGGCCACCGCCGCCAGCTCGGCTCTCCCAGGGCGAGGCGAGGCAGGCTTCCCACGGGCAGCATTCCCAGCCCTGCCATGGCCAGGCTGGAGCAGAACCGGAGCTGAGCCGTTCAGAGGCGGTTCAGTCACATCCCAAACACAAATGTGGTCGACACGCAGAGTCTCCAGCTACCATCTGCGGCAGATGCTTGACAGGCAAGCCAGGGCTCTTTCATCAGGGTCAACACGGCAAAGTTATGCTCTGTTCTAGGGAAAACACACTTGGAGAGCTGCACAAGAAGAGAAGATACTCTCCCTCTCCAGGAGCTGCAGCTTTGTACCACAGTACAGGGAAAATAACGGGAAAGCCTGAGGACGAGGTTGAGAGAGCCCAGCCAGGAGCACCAGCACTGGAGGAGAGGAGCCGCGCTTGGCCAGCGCTGTGCACAGCTCGCTCGGAAACACGGGGGTGCACTACATGCAAACAAAATGCTAGTGGCTTGTACAGCGAGGTTTTATAGGATTTAACTGTAGGTAAGGGCACCCAGGCTGCTTAGATGTGGACTCTGCCTGGAACCGGAGCAGCGCAGAGCTGATCCCAAGCGGGCTGGTGAAGCCAGGAGGAACGCAGTGCCAGCAGCTGTATCTCAGGACATGGTTTACTACGTGGGCCCTCCAAACAGCACTGTCAGAAGGGCTTACACAATGCTATTTGTAAACATTTACTTGCTTTTACTCATTTACAAAGTCTTGTGGGCTAAAGTCCTTTTCCCTTGTGTAACCGGTTCCAGCACCATCAGCACAGGGGCAGAAATTTATCTTCTGACTTCACTAAATCTTGTTCATCTAACGGTCTGCGATATGAAGATGCAAACTCGTGATTTGGCACAAAACGCACCTCCAGAGTTCCCAAACTCTGCCTACCCTGGGGCGATTCCTCCCTCTTGTGCTTCAAGCACAGCAGAGAAATGGAGGTGCGAGAGCAAACACACCAGTAACCCAAAATTTAAGAAAACTTCAGAAAAGCCGTGCTTGTCCCTACCCCCGCCTGCGCTCTCGGGGGCCATGGCTTGGCGTGCCCGCTCTGCCCTGTGAGCCAGCCTGTTCCAACCCAGTACTTTTCCAACAAGCCCGCGCTGTGTCCCCAAACAAAGCCGTGCCTCCTGTGGCTGGGACACTGCTCCTCTGCAATAGGGCTCTCTGTGCCAAGGGCAAGCCGATGGCTTCAGCCCAGCGCAGCTTGGTCCTGCGGTGAATACTGATCCACCGGCTCAACCGGGAAAGCCTCTTCAAAGCCCTCTTAGCGAGGGGCTAAGATGGTGTTTTTCTTGCTTGTCCTTACAGCTCAAGCAGGAATTTCTCCTGCGGGGCACCGCTGCCAGTGCAGCCGCCAAGGAGGAAAGGTGTGACTGCTTCCAACCAGCAGAAAAGGTCTGCGGAGGCTACAGGCAAGTTTCAACTCACTCTCTGCAGAACCAACCCCTGCCCGTTCAAGCAGGGCTCAGGGTTTTGCTGCTGCTTCCCAAAGCACCAGAGGAGCTGTGGAAAGGCAGCCTTAGCCGCAAGACACCTACCGCCACTCTCACTGTGCATGTTTGTGGGAGCTTTAGCAATACCCGAATCGAGGGTCTGTTCGTGAGAGAAGGAATACACTGCTGGAGTTAGGGGAACACCAGTGACTGCACTGCTTCCAGCCTGCTGTCTACACAGGATGGGAACATCTCCAGCAAGAACAAACACGGCGGGAGCACACAGCATCCCTGGAACGATGGCAGCACTCTGGGCCCTGGTCGTTACCTGCCTGCAGAAGTAGGTCAAACTCCAAAGAGGAGCAGCCGGTCAGGCTCCCTTCTTATTTAACACTGTTTATTACAGAGACTATGCCTGCAATTTACTTCAGGCCACGAAAGCCAAAAAGAATCTAGGTAATGCCATGCTATGCAAAATATGTCACGAAGCCCTTGCCGTGCTGGCAGAGACGGTGTCCTCCGGCAGGAAGGCAAGCGGCACGCGGCCAGCAGGGAGGCGCGTTCCGTCTGCGCGAGCAGCAGGAAGCCTTACCTCTGCTGGGCACCTTATTCCTACTGAATCCAGCAGCGGGCTGATGTCTGTACTGATGCGTCCCCAGCTCCTGCGCGTGGTTAGCAGTTCCTAGCAAAGATTCTGGGTCCCCGTGCCCTCCTGCGTTTACAAGCAGAGGGGTCTCGTGGCAACCTTTGGTCAATGTGTTTGAACTCTTACTGTCAGGAAAGCTGTCCCTGGTGCCCTCGCACGCGCAGTCCTCCTCCATGCTCTCTGAATGGAACAGGGCCGGCTGGTGTACGTATCCGTGCGGCGGCACTGCCGTGGGTACCGGCTGGATACATTCCTGCGCCCTGATTTTTAAGAGATGCTGGGGGCTGTTCTGGGGGTGGTACGTGTCAGCGCTCTGGTAAGGCAAGGACAAGGACTGGCGCTCCGAGAGGTTCTGTCCCACGCTGGCGCCCATATTCCCAGCATCTCCTTGACTCATATGCCTGAACAACTCTTGAAAATCTTGCTGCTGCTGCTGTTGCTGCCGCCGTTTGATGAGCTGTGCAAATTCTGCCTGGGGCAGCCGCATGTCCGTGTGTCCCGTGAGCGAGTGCCGGGGAGAAAGCAGTCCCTGGAGGATGTGCGGTACCTGCTGGTGTCGGCTGTAGTCGGGAGGTGTCGGGGACAACAGTGCTTGCTGTAGTGCCGATGCAGTGTAGTGCTGCTGTTGCTGATGTGCATTTTGAGGGAAACTGGGATACTGGTCAAGCTGCGGGACTTTCAGAGCTTGCTGAGCTGGAGGATACCCAACTCCTCCTGACGGGCTGTAGCTGCTGGGGGAAACGCGAGGCTGCTCCGGGAACAGGTGGGGGTGTAAGTGCACCTGGTCGTAGTTGGCGGGGGGATACCTGCTCACATTCAGGCTGCAAAGAAGGGAAAAGAACAAGTGACTGAACTGCAGCAGCTCCGGCTGGGTGAGGCATGCCGGGCTGCCTTCTCCGCTCAGGAAGAGGACAGAGCGGCTCCGTGCAGGAGCGATACAGCAGCACGGCCAAGTCCCAGAGCCCCGACCTGGCTCAGGAACTGCTGCCCAGGGGCAGCGAGACACCTCACTCCCCAAAACCAGGGCAGTGCAGCCCTGGGCTGGCGAGGAAATCACATCTCAGCCTGAGATACGTGTCCCCACTTCTTCCTCCCTGCTCCCAGCTCAGGCAAGCGGCGCAGAGGTGGCCAGCGGCCTTACCTGTGCGACTCGGCGCTGTCG